CAGCACCGAATCTGGAGCAGGGGCAGGATGTACCACAGGGATTGGGGCCAGAAGAAGCATGTAAGTGACTATTTGTTTTCATAAGTAGACTTTATGTAGTGCTGGCACTTCATTGATTGAGGAGGGTAAGGGGAAAGGTCTGCTTTATTAAGGAGTTAGCTACCCTTATGTGGCTACACCAACCACATTCTTCTGGGAAGGCTTTCCACAAGATTTTGGAATGTGTCTGTAGAAATGTATGCCCACTGAGCCAAAATAATAATTCTGAGCTCAGGTACGGATGTTGAACAAGAAAACCTGCCTCACCATTGGCACTCAAATTCATCCCAAAAGGTGTTCAATATGGTTAACTTCGAGGCTCTGTTTAGGCCACTCCAGTTCCTCCACACTAAACTCAAACTAAAGTATGTCTTTATAGACTTGACTTTTGTGCACAGTTATACTGGAAAAGAAGAATGGACTTTCCCTAACTGATGCTACAAGGTTGAGAGCACACAATTGTCTAAGGTATGTTGAAGCATTAACAGTACCCTCCACTGAAAAAAACCTATAGTCATTAGTTTTGAAATTTTGGATATAGCAAAGATGGTAAGATTTTTGTTTCTGTAGCTAGTGGGAAAATATTCCCTTACCACTGGTATGGTCACCAAGACAAGAAATTAATGAAATATCTTCAAAAGGGGCACAGATGATAATTAAACATATTAGTTAAACAAAAGAAGGGAAAGCGTGAAAACTTCTATTAGGGTTCTATTCCCTCCTGTCTCCCTAATTTAAATATCTTCCCACTTTCAGTTTGGTGACAGAACAGGACCCCATGGGGGAATACCCCCAACAGGGACAATAATAGTAATAAAAGGTTACAACCCTTCCCAAAAAAAAAACAGTTTTGACTGGAATTAGGTTTTAATGTTATTAAATTATACTTTTCTGTTTTATTCTGCAATTCACTATGTTATTCTAAAACTGGCAAAACGTCTATCACGGCAACATATATCTGGCTGTGTTGTGTGCATAATTTGCCTACACAAGCCCCAAGAAATCTCAGCTCTGTCATTAGGTTTAGTGTAGAATGCTGATAATTTGACCATTCAAGGATGCAGTGTTTCTCTCATTACAACACTAGCACTGAAAAAGGGCAGACCCTTCCACTTAGCAGTGAGCTTAAGAAAGTTACATGAAAGACCTGTACAGCAGGTAACAATATGCAAAGAAGTTTCTAAAAATCCTTACAATGATTAACAATGGAGTGGTGTAAAGTGTAAAACACAATACTGTTCTGCAGTTGTTTCTAACATGGCAGAAAGTTTTTTTTAGTTCACAGGTCGATGATGCATTAAATATGATGAAATATACTGAAAAATGACATTTTATATTCGTTTCCTATTAAATTTTCTCAAAGTAGATAAACTGATCTTGTATCTAGAATCAAATTTCAGTCATTTGCATTAACTTTTTTTCATTCAATTTTTAGACACAGTGAGAACTAATACGATTACCTTAGGATTTGTAATAGGCAAGGACACAAAATAATTAGCCCTCTTTTGCTTTTTACTTTTATCATCATCTTCATTTTCTAATTGATGTCTTTTCCTTTTCTTTTTCACCTTCTTGTCTGCTGTTCTTGCGACTGAAAGAAATTATTTCAATGAAACACAAATTTAAAAGACTGATAGACAGACTCTGCTGTCCTTTTTTTTTATATTTTTGTCGGAGTATAGATCTATGTTTATCCCAAGCATATATAAATTCACTTACTGTTGACTGACTCGCTACCTCTGCTGGATGTCTACTTCCAACACCCACTACTCTTTTTGTAAAATAATAATTTCAAATATTATCCTTAGGCCTCATTCAGACAGGGCATACACGCCCGTGTGAAGTGCATGCCCGTAAACGGGCCGATCCCAGGAGGGACAGGTGCTGCATTTAATTGCATGCAGCAGCCTGTTCTTCCCTATGGAAGGACGCAGCTGCAAGGGCGTACTGACCCATCAGGCACTCGGGCTCCACCCGAGGGCCCGTGGCCAAAAGGGGGCCCGTCACCCAGTGTCGAAACTAGGAAGGGGGGCATGTGACTGATCGCTCTGGCAATCAGAATCCTACCACGGGCGGAACGATCAGGGTCTCATTGAGAGGACCCTGCCGTTCTGTCACTTCCCCCGACATCAAGGAGACAGTAGAGAGGCCCCTCCCCTCAGCCAAGCCAGCACCGGCACATGAATGGAAGGGCAGCTGGTACGGAGGAAAATGCCGGCTGCTCCCTCCCAGTCCCACACACCCGCCGCACAAGGAGTTTTTGGAAGCTCGCCCCCCGCAGGTAGCTTGTAGATGCTCCCCCCACACCGCACAGGGAGGTTGTGGATGTCCCCCCCAAGATGCAACACTGCAGAGGAAAAGTAACCTGTGAATGCCTCAAGGTCTCAGACTGGTGAGTGAACTATATTTTACTGTACATTGTATGTAAATAAGGAGAAAAATATTTTCTTTACAGAAATAAATATTGTTAAGCTGAAAATTGTATTAATTTTGTCTTTATATAATGTTCCAGGTGCCCAGTGTTGTGTACAAGTATAGTACTAAAATGGTACTGCGTTCTTCATTATCACGCTCTGCATTCTTTACCACTGCGTTCTTTAATAGCGCACTCTGCATTCTTTACCACCGCGTTCTGCGTTCTTTATTACCGCGCTCTGCGTTCTTTAATACTGTCCCATGCATTCTTTGCCACCGCGCTCTGCATTCTTTACCACCGCGGCACTTTATGAGGCTATTTCAAGCCTTCCTTCTGCTCTGCAGCATTTAGAAAGGCCCAGCTGAGATCTCCACACCCCTGCTGATCCTCCTCATCTGCTCCTCTGATCTTCCTCATCTGATCCACCTCCTCTGACCCTGCTGATCCTCCTCCTCTGACCCTGCTGATCCTCCTCCTCTGACCCTGCTGATCCTCCTCATCTGACCCTGCTGATCCTCCTCATCTGACCCTGCTGATCCTCCTCATCTGACCCTGCTGATGATCCTCCTCTGCCCCTGCTGATCCTCCTCCTCTGCCCCTGCTGATCCTCCTCCTCTGCCCCTCTGATCCTCTGCCCCTCCTCCTCTGCCCCTCTGATCCTCCTCCTCTGCCCCTCTGTTCCTCCACATCTACCCCTCTGTTCTTCCTCATCTGCCCCTCTGATCCTCCTCATCTGCCCCTCTGATCCTCCACATCTGGTTCTCCGATCCTCCTTATCTGCCCTTTTGATCCTCCAGATCTGCCCTTCTAAACCTCCGCATTTGCCCCTCTGATCCTCCGCATCCACCCTGCTGATCCCCCTCATCTACCCCTCTGATCCTCATCTGCCCCTGCTGATCCTCCACATATGCCCCTGCTGATCCTTGACATTGGCCCCTCTGATCCTCCGCTTATCCCTCACATCAGCTCAGTGAGACCCTCAGCATCTGCCCCTACTTAGACTGTTTGCATTTGCCCCTGCTGAGACTCTCCATCTGAGACATCAGATTGTTACCCGGAACAGAGCCGCAGCATAGAGTATGTAGCAAATGCATATACTATTCTGTATTGCTGTGTAATGTATTGCTGGGATTTGTAGTCCTCTACAGCTGGTGGTAATTGGCAGAATTGAAGAATCTCGGACAAATTATCCAAACCATAAATTCTGCCAATGAGCTCATTTTCCAAATCACCTCTATTTGTGTAGAACTGGCGGTTCAAATTCTTCTACCAATTCCCCTGCAATTCACTTTTTAGTGATCGGCTATTTTGAAAATAGTGAGGAGAAATAATTTCTGTAACACAAGAATTTATATGTGGGTGGGCCTTGTGGATGAGTGGGGATTGTGGTTGGATGTGGCCTGTATATGGGCGGAGCAAAAGGGGCCCCATAATCTCGTATTGCCCGGGGGCCCCATGTGTTGTCAGTCCGCCCCTGCGCAGCTGTACGCGATCATCCTCACACCCAAACTTGCACATCCGTACAGGTTCGGATGTCCGCACCTGGACGCACACTGTCCAGTGTGCAGATGACAGCGTACAGCCGTGTCCTCCCTAGGGAAGAACAAGCTACTGTGTGCAATTACACCCGGCACCTGCCCCTCCCGGGATCAGGCTGTTTACAGGCATGCACGCAGCACGGACGTGTACGCCCCATCTGAATGAAGCCTTAACGTTTACTCCTAATAATTTGACGTCATGCCCCCTATCTTCTTGTGCTTAGCATCATATGAAATGAATGGCCTATTGATCCTCTTTTAGAACCTTAATATATTAAAAGAGAACTAACGCCAAATTTTTTGGGGGGGCTGTAGTCCTCCATGGATCATAAGAGGACATCTACTAATGTTCTCCTGTGACTCAAAGTCCGCATCTAATGTGCTACTGCAGAGTATATTCTGACAGCGCAGAGCCACGCTGCAGCCGGTAAAGAGCCCAAGAACATTATCTGGATCCACCCTGGTGCCTGATTGACAGCTGGCTCCGCTTCTCTAGAGCCAGCTGTGCCCGCCCCCTCCCCTGTCTGTCTCTCCAATGAGCACTGGAGGAATAGAGAGGGGAGTCCATGTGGGGAGCATTGACTGAAGTCACCAGTCTCTGCAGGGAGAAGACCATGAGCTGAGTGATCAGTGCTTTGTGATCACTCACTTTTCAATCTATAGAGCCAACGTTTAACAGCTGCAGTGTCACATGCCGGCTCTAAGTATTAGAAGAGTACATTTTACTCACCCAATACTTGTCATGTAAATATTTCAATCATGTGCCTCTTTCTTTACTAAAGGCTGCAGATTTAAAGCACCCCCCTCCCATCCCGTCCTGATATGTTCAATACCTTAGCTCTAACAACATTTTTTTTTGCCTGTCTGAGTTATAACAAGCTCTATATAATGGAACCAGGACCTCTTTCTTCCTGCTGGTGATCTCTCTAGTAATGTTACACAGAATTCTTTTTGCTTTCCCTGCTGCATAGTCACACTGTTTTCTCATTTTACAATCACAAGAAATACGCACTACCACAGCTGCATTAACTGTAACATCATATCTATTTACAACCTTAAAATTACCTAGCTTGGATACAGAAGGTAAACAGCTTTACTCATGTGAAAATTACACTCCTAGCTATTTACAATAAAGGACAGATCCCTTATCAATGGTATATTCTAAAGCAGAATGTATGAGAGCTCTCCCAAAAACAAAGCTACAGAAGGTAGAAGAATGAAGCTCAAGAAAAAAATCCTGCTCTGTATTGGTCCATTCTGTTGAATGTAGCCAGCACTATAAAAATCTTGGGGACAGAATGATATGGCAAAAAATATAGGAACTGACATTTCTTACTCTACAGCTCAATATAAGGTTGTTCTATGTTTTATGCAATGATTATCCTGCTGAAATCTAGAGTTATGTAAAAAAATAAGTACACCCCATGAAATTTGTTGTCTTTTTCTACATATCAGAACAGACAAACATTAGATTTTTATCCAAACAGTGTCTACAAATAAAGGTGACATACTTGACTAGAAATCAAGAAAAATGTGCCTTTTCGTTCATTTATTCAACAAACAGAAAATCTGTAGAAAAAGTAAGGATTTCCTTGCCACAGAAGCTGGTATTGTCCCTTTTAGCAAAAATGACTTCTTGCAGGTGTTCTGCCTAATTGCCCATCAGTCTCTGAAATTATTTATTAATACCAAGTGTTGTGCAAGAAAGAAATTGTTCACACTCTCAGTTGACACAAATTTAGAGTTTAACACATCATACATTAAAAAAATACATTGAATGAGCATGGCATGCCAATCAATATAAGGATGGGTCCAGCCTGCCCTACCACTTTACAAATTGATATAATTTTGGTTACCTGCTCTAACAGACTAAAGTTCAGAGGACCAGAAAAAGAGTTGTTGACATAAAAAAAGAGGTTTACAAAAGGACTTTTAAGGCTTTGGTTTGTTAGACCCATGGTCAGTTAGATAGCTCATAACTAGAAAGAATTGAGTTGCTCCTCTCCCGGACAATGAGGATCCTTCTGTACAGTAGCTGTACAATCCTCAGCTGACCAAAATACCCTAGGGTGACTGCCTAGAATCTGCAAGCATCTCTTGCATTTGGTAATATCTGTGTTTACAAGCCTATAACATAAAACACTGCCCAACAGAGGTTCATGGGACCTAGCTACACAGGACCAGTCCTTCCAAAAAAAAAAAAAAACCCACTGCTGCCAGTTCTAATTTTGTTAGAGACCACTTGGCTGTTCCACAGTACTACTGTGTAAGTTGAAGTATTATTTATGGCAAATTACGCTAGGTATACACAGTTAGAATTTCATTCAAAAACACGTTTGGAGCATTTGTTTGATTTTCTCATAGTTAATGGGGTTCAATAGATAAATGTTTTTGACCATAGTGATGAAAAAAATCAAAGGAGCAGAATGGAAATGTTTTTCTCGAACAAACAAACCACTAACAGTGAATGTGGATTTCATTTGGGAAAATCCATTAATTCCAAAATCAATTTTTAAAACCAAATGGAATCTCAAACCACTTTCTACAAGTCTCTAATGGCATTATTAAATGTTTCAACTGGATTTTTCGAACCATGTATTTTTTCATTTTAGCGTCCTCAATTTATTTTTCTCACAACACTGGTTTTAAATGGAAATAATATTGTAAAGTATAACGTTTTTATGTTATAATTAAATTATATAGTTATGTTATTGTATACTAAAATTATACAAAATGATATACTTACTTTCAAAAACTGCATTGATATCCTCATTTGCAAAAGGCAGCTCGGGGAGCAGATTTCTTACTGATTTAATACTGCGAACCCTCTTTCTCTTGCATTTGCTTTTTTTATTTTTCTGAGCTTCATCTGGTTTTCCATCTTCTAAAGCTTCGACAAAAAAAAAATATGTTACTTATTTTTTTCCAAGTGGATGCAGTATTTTACATTATGTTTCTTTTAAATAGGTATCTAGTTAAAGAGACACCGTCATGAGAGATTAATAGAGGCTGCCAATACTGAACTTTTCAGAATGCTAGTTTCCTGACAGCCATTCTGATGCTTTCTGAATATTTTTTAACCAGTTGACATCCGGTGTGTTAAACCCCCTTCCCCATCCAGGCCATTTTTCAGTATTCAGCGCTGCGGTACTTTGACTGACATTTATTCCGTCATGCAGCGCTGTACTGAAATGAATTTTATACCCTTTTTTGGGGACAGATAGAGCTTTCTTTTGGTGGTATTTATTCACCACTG